ACTGTCCACTGAATCAAATAACAAGCATGAAAACAGGTCTACACAGTAAAGAATGGACTGGAAAAGACATAGATATCGGGCTATATGACAGCAAAGAAGTTACAAAAGTCACTTTCTTTCTATTTCAGCCACAGTTGCACAAGTGCAATGCTTTTCAGGCGCTGCAATTGGTTAAACACTTTAGAACAACCGTGAAAGCTCTCCAAAGTATGTTCCAACGAACCCAACAGACAATCAACATTTAATGAATAGTATACAAAATATCTGTATATCTGTGTTGAGTTAGTGTAAAAGATAGGTGGAGATTGTTAAAAAACGGAAGATTAAATGGTTCGGTCAAATATACTGTATTCAAGCTGTTTTGCCTACACTGCATCTAGTATTCAACGTGCCACTGTGATACATATCAAATATTTACTCTGGTATTGCAAAATATTAAATATTTAAGGACTTGGATCAGGATACTGCCCAAAAAACATGATTAGCATTCCAAAAAAATACAGAACCTTGGCAACTGCTTACACATTTTCAGCTGAAAAAAAAAAAACTATTAATGAGAACTGAGACACTAACTTGGTAGAGTTTTTAAGGAGATTGTAAACAAAAATAAGTGTTTTTAAAATCCTTAATCCTGCTTAAAGTGGACCTATCATGCTATATTTGAATAATATAGTGTAGGACCATACCTATATAAGGCATATTTATACTTTTTTTTTTCAAAATACCAAACAGATCATGCATTTTAGCCATGCCTCATTTCGCTCAATTTGAAAAATGTTAGCTCTGTTTTTGCAAGGGTTGATTCTGTGAGCAACAGCACCATCTAGAGGCCTGGCATATGTACTACAGCGTCTCCAGCGCTTTCGAACGGCAATGGCCGTGGCTGTCTCCTCCTGATTGGTGGAGTTGGCCCAATAGCCGTAGCGCCACCGTCCTGACGTCAGGACAGTGTTCAAATCTGGATCAGTCTGTATCAGATCCGTTGCAGCCCCTTTTTTAGAGATTTGGGTATGGAGGAAAATAGAGAGGGTTGTGTTTTCTGACACTTGGTGAGTTCCCTGGAACACCGGGGACACATATTCATGAATAAAAGACGTACAAAAGTGCATTTTGCATGATAAGTCCCCTTTAAAGGTAGGGTAGGTAAGTTTGAGAAACCGGCTCGAGATCGCTAGAATTTGAAAATACACAACCGGAGAAAATCTGCCACTTCCTTACAGAGCCCCTCCTCCAACACACACGAACGCGCACATGACCAATGAGGGCACGAGATAAGTTTGTGCACAGATGGAAGGCTGACAGGCAGGTAGGCCATCCAGTTATTTTAGCCGGGCCGGCTAAAATGATTGGTCGTGCTTTTTACAGTACTACGGCTTCCACAGATGACATTTTTTTATGGATTTTTTGTCAAAGCACTTAAGATATTCATTGCTATCGGGATGTCAAGAGCATTCCATGGAATATAACAAAAAGTGTATCTCGAGCCGGTTTCTCAGACTTACCTACCCTACCTTTAAGTTATATCAAAACACTGTGTGGAAGGTGAAGACTACAGCAGAGTGAGATTAGTGTGTGCGTGTGTGTGTGTGTGTGTGTGCGTGTGTGCGTGCGTGCGTGCGTGCGTGCGTGCGTGCGTGCGTGCGTGCGTGCGTGCGTGCGTGCGTGCGGACTTGTATCAGAGATTTCCTTACTTAGTCGAGGATTATTCTGTAATTGCGAGTGTGCGCCCCTGAGAACTGCAGCTGAATACTTAATGGGTTTTTAAAATGTTTGAAGTATCACAATGCAGAACCCTGCTGCCTAATGAAGTCCCACTGGTTTTTTTCACAATAACTCACCCTTTTGTTCTCAGTGGTAAACCATCAGTTTGACTGTGACAGACCTGGTTAGCTAGAAATAGCCAACAGAGACAGACAGTCAGAATATAACAGCTTGTGGCTTCAAAAATGTAAACAATTTGAACGTTTTCTGGACATAATGATGCATTTTGCATCCATGCAAGAATTAAGACCAACTTAGATCTAGTGCAGCGTGGGTTTACAGTGACTTCTTCAAAGGAAAACGTTTTAATGATGGTCAAATGTTATGTCCTAAAGTTTCTGGAATATCTATTTACTTCTTTGTTGAAAATATTTCCCCAGTGATCTCTCCAATTGTGGGTGTCAGTTAAACGAAAACCAATGCTTACTATGAGCCACTATCATGAAAGTCCAATAAATGTAACAATGTTACCAATGAAACAGATAAGATAGAAGAAGCATCGAGCAGACACATTATTTCAGACAGGTAATCATATTCCCAGGAATGAGATGACAGAACTGGTTTATCTGTGCTTTCCTACACTCGCACGCCTCAATGTGCTATTCCATTTCTCTTGTAAAGCTATGTCTGCGCCTTCTGCTACTGAGGACCTAATTACATGCAGGCTGACTGAATTCTATCCAATGTTCCAATGCCAGTCCTGCTGTTGGACATTCACAAATACACTGGGTGACAAACTGTAAACCCACTGAACTCTATATGGATCCTCTACACTGAGCCTATGCCTCCTTTTTTGCCCTGACTAATGAGCCTTGTCTTTTGCTCGTAAAAGACATTTTTTTATAAATGTTTGCTAGATTTCCATGTCTTTTCTTGTGTTTGTTCCATTTACATAGATTGCATTGATTATAGCCTGAGGTTCTTTACTCTCATATGGATGCAAGTCTGCTATCAATCACTGCCTCAGTGCAAACATGATTTCCATAAAGAAGCACTCACGCCAACGGCTACGTTTAATAGTAACGTTTTTTGTGGATAAGTTGAATTTAATTCTGCATTTTATCAGACAAAAAGCTTTGCCACAGGATGCACTGTGTACATACAAAATCAGCATTGTTTCTCTTACACTCAGGAAATGTGTCGCTTTAAAAAAAGGGTATAGCTTTAAAACTCTCTCCATTTGTTTTCATTCAGAATATAAGGACCACAGAGAATGCAAAAGATTGTTTATGGTATGGGACACTCAAAAAACTAAAGTTTTGATGCAAGCTTCAGGCTATGGATCAATACAAAAGCCTAACCGACAGCACACAACAAACATATTAAATATTATTCCTTTTTGTTTTCACCCCCCAAGTAAAAACCTGTCCTTTACATGTGCAGTGTGATCTTTGCCATACTTGATTATAAAACAGACATACAGGGCCTGGATCCCATTATGTCCGCTGCCAGGTCACAAGTGTAATTTCAGGCCGTACAACCATCATGCCGGCCGCTCTAATCTGTCTCTGACACGCATATCTATTTCAGTTTCTAAAGACCTGCCTGTTGCCCTCCTGCTGCGCTAATACACCGTCTTCAACATTTCACTGGTTCTCATTCAAAATCAAACCCCTTGTCTCAATCAAATCACACGTACATGGTGTTCATGCAGCAAAGCTGACATTACTACAGGCCATTTATGGATTTCGGCCCCTAATCACGTTGCATATTATTAAAGATCACATGTATTATTAGTTGCAGTAGTGGAAGTAGGATTAGTGTTTCGGTATTGTGGTTGTTTTTTCAGGCTATTTTCAATATTATGTTTGTTTATTTTATTTTTGTGCGCTGATATTTTGTTTCTGCAGATAATAACTTACAGATGGTTAGCACCCTCCACTGAGTGCTGCTTCCCTATATGGACCTTGGCTTATGCTAATAACAAACTGCCTGGAATGTGTATCCAAATTATCATCAGACAAGATTCACCACCGATTGCATATGGGTACATTTGATTTGATTGGCTTTATGGATGAGACACAGGGTTCTCTCTTTCTCTGATTTAACGAAAGGTTTAAGTAGGATGATGTTCTATATATTGTTCTTATTTTAAACAAAGCCCAACACTGAAATGAGCCCATTAAATAGCACTGCCTCTGTAGCCAAACAAGCATAGACCTCCAATGTTGCCCAAAAACCGACTACTGTAAAAACACATCACCGAGCCTCGCTGTTGCACAAGCTGACATGTCCCCTAATTATGATGAATGTGTGCATAATAGTATATTTTGAGTCTATTCCACATAAACCTCCCTGCAATGTGTGGAAGCTAAGTGTGTATTTATCTGCAGCAAAGAATTCCACAAAAATACACCATGTAGTGAACCTCAAGCTTCAGTACCCAGCTAATGAAGGAAGTTAGTGAGAATTAAAAAGATATATATATATTTATACATTGCTAAGATTTATTTTGTTTAATTCTTCACTAGGAACAATAGGGTTAGGGCTGAGTGCCATAGACAGAGAAGGGTGATTCGATTTAGTGATGTGCAAGAACATTTGTTGTTGTTTTTATCTTTCTAATGGGAATCCTGACAATGAAAAAATAGAATAATGGCCGCCTCATTTACTCCCTCAGAGCGTATATAGACAGCAATTTGGTAAATGGACTGCATTTATACAGCACTTTACTCCATTTAACAGAGAGGACGGGCCATCATGAAACACATGCATGGAGACAATTAAGGTCTTTGATGTCTGATCAATCCCCGTCATGATATGTTTTTCACACACATGCTCACACACAGTGTTGGGCAAGTTACTTCCAAAATGTAATACAATACATATTACTTATTACTGTCTTTTTTAAGTAATAAGTTACATTACAAAAAAGTAATACATTACTTTTGTAACGCGTTGCTCACACACACACATGCTTAATTTAGAAATGAAGCCTCGTTTTTGTATTTTTATCCTGACTAGTTATCAACATATTGGGCAAAGGAGAAAATGGCATGTCCTAAGCTTGGATGAGTGGATCAATGATTCAGTGGGGAACTTTTTCTTTTCAAAGATATCACTGATAAAAGCCAAGAAAAATAAATTAGATATGGTTCTGTTTTAGAGGACTTCATTTAAAATGTCTACTGTAACATGAACATTGAGCTTGGAGATGCACTTTGTGCCAAATGCTGACAGAAGGGGGAAGATGGTGTCATTTGTGAATACGAGAAGAGATTCTCTTACTCTTAACTCACCAAATGTTTTGGGGAGGTGAAGTGTCTGGAGGTCACCTTTCAGCGGAGTGCCTTTCGGTGTCCATGATGTCTACTGCGGGTGCACGATTATCCTCCTCCGAGCGGATCATGGTGTCTGGGAGGCAGACAGGGAGCAACAGGGCAGAGGGAGAAGGAGAGAAAAAGGCAAACAGTTTAAAAGGATGAGTCCAAATTAGGAAGTCTAACACCTAAAGCTCGCTATATTTTTTTGCTTTTCAAACGACAGGCAAGCTTCAACAGTTGGAAAAACACATCACGACACGTCATTAACGTTTCAGCCAAAAATGACTTCTCATTCTCTCCATGAAACATACATTTAGCCTTTTACAGTAGAGCCAAAGGTCATTAGTCAGCCACTAATTTGTATATCTTCTTGCGTGTCGCTGCCAAAAAAGCTCATATTGCTCTCAGTAATCTACCTTTCCATTTGCAGCCGTGTTCAATTATTTCTTTATGCAATATGTTTTAATCAAGGATCTACTTGGGTAGGGTAGCTTCCATTCCCCACTGGATAATATCTGTCAAAGGGAAGAATGGCATGTCTTCATGACTCGGGAAGTGTTCATGCCTTATATAGTCTTGGTCTAGTAGAGTTGCCTGCTGCACAGAACTGGATCTAGCCGGGGGCTAAGGAAGCAGACCTTATGAGAGCTCATTAAAGCAAGTCTTAGGAGACAAATATGAATGTACTATTTAAAACAAAAAAATTGAGCCTCTTTTCAAAAATAATCAAAGCTAATGGAGCGGATCCAAGACTGAAAAGGCTATTATTAATAACGGAAGTCATTGCTGGGTTGGACGGGTAAATGTAAAGAGTGCCAGATTGGAGGACGGTCAAGACAAGGAGTCAGTATTAATATCCAAACAATTCATTCCCCCTTACAGTTTTAGGAAACAAATGAGCACCCTGGTTTCCTTTTCGTGTTACACTTACAAATTATACCTCAAAGGTCAGTCGAGGAAGCATTTCTGTTGTAATGGGGAGTTAGATGACATTTCGGGGCAAGGACGATTCTCTTTGTAACACTGACATTTTCACTTGCTGCATAAAGATCAAACTAATTTAAATAAAAATCCACGACTGTTTTCTTGCATTGTATAAAAAGGCATCCCAACAAGATGGAGTACATCATCCTAATATGGACGACCTCGCTTACTTAGCCTATCTGTTCCACATTTAGCTGAGTCTGCAGGGGCGTTCTCGAGTGAGACATAAAGAGAACTGAACGAGACAATTACCATTTTCAAGTTTCCACTTTATATCTGAAAACGGGCTTGATCAGAGTCTCAATGTGCATGTAATACCCTGTGAATGAGGGGGCTCTTCCCACAATGGTATGAAATGGTAATTATCCTGATAGAATGTGAATGTAGAGCTCAGCAATTTGAAACTGAAATGTGTCATACAGTACATGCGAGGGCCCCTCCTTTACTGTAACAGATAAAAGGTCAAGTAATTATATAAGCTTTAGCTCTCAGTCTCACAGTGAATATTTCGGAAGAAGAACATCTTGAAAAGCTCTTTTTTCAAAATGCAACTGGGAGCTACATGAAAAGAAAATAGTGTTTAATCAGGAAACTTTGTTACATGTAATAATATAATAATTGTTACACCAGACACAAGGGCATGCACTCAGATTAAAAACATGTTTGGGTCGGGAGGCAACTATAAATGTACAGTTTGAGAAGAAGTGTGTGTTTTCAAATGTGTTACAATCTTGAGATTTTAACTATGAAAGGAAACGTATTACACACTGCAGAATTCATACTAAAATTACAGTTTTACAAGAGCAAGCAAGATATTAACTTCTGTCTGTGTTACTTTGTCAATTGAATACTTTAATGCATGGAGAAATATGTGTTTCTTTGGTGTTCATGCAGCTAGGAATAAAATATTTCAGATTTTGCTTATCTTTCGTTATTTTAAGTACGCTAATTTCAAATCTTTTGTGTTTTCACCATATTCCACTTTACATCTTATACTCCAAAAACATTTATCAGTAAGCTAATGTTTGTTTGATGCAGTTGCACGGTCCAAAACCTATTAATGTTGTGATGCATGAATATCCCCTTTGTGAGCACTTCTTTTATAATCAGGCCAAGTATAAACTTACAAATAGATAGTAAATCCCAGCACACATTTAGCCGCAGTAAAACTTGTTGGTGCAAGGTGAAAAGAACCACCTGGTGACTTCCTGTTTATTAAAGGAGGCACAGTGGAGTCTACATCCTCCTCAGGCCAACATTGCACCACAGGGCCACAGTGGTACACAAAAGAAACCACTGAGGCAACAACTTCAACATGATAGGTTGGATTTTGAGGATTAAACACTTCAAATCTCATGACACTGACTCACAGTCACACTTCTCTCCTTCTCTTAAGTGCGGTCCCTTATCTCACCCAGCTATACTCCACTATAAATCTACTAGCAAAGCTCTTCACATTTATTGGCCGAAAATACATTGGTATCACCTTTCACTGACTATTTATCCTGCCGAGCGGGTGCTACAAAGCGAGAACTACACAGCAAACCTGCCCTTGATTAATGTCTTTTACGACCTATCTTATTTGACTCAAACACCCAGTGTCGAGTTGATTTAGGACCTGCAAGTTCTGTTGGGCCACGATAAAAAGGGGGTTTTAACTTCTTTGAATGCTTATGCAAAAGGAGAAGAATGTGTTACCGAGTCTGCTCCTGATATAAATTATCAAGCATCATCTTCACCTTTCAGCAAATACTTCATTTCACCACGGTAACTGCTTCAAATGACTCAGTATCTAATCACCTGCTTATAAGGACTTTGCAAGAGCCTCTGCTCTGTGCCACAAATGTGTTTTTTTTAATTTAATTGATGGTGTGGAGGAGTATATGTTGTCTCCAGCAGTAAGTATGCATAAAGAATGCGAGAAGCACGGCAGTTACTGTGTGTGTGTGTGAGAGAGAAAGTTAAGATAGACATACTGAAAGACGGAGACAAAAGGACAGAAAGTATGTGTTTCTTACGGTTGAACTGCAGCTGAGATTAAGCCAAGGTCATCCTCTTACTTATGACATACATGGAGCCAGACTGAGCCTCTCAGTTGGATGCTCTCCATCCGCTCCCACTGATAACAGCGGCTACTTCATGTGCAGCGTGCAGACACCACGGCTCTGCTTTGTGTGGACCCAGAGTGATTAAAACCACATTTGGATTTGCTATAATCGCCGTGAAGAAAGACAGTTTTCTCACATACATGCGTTCTCTGAAGAAAAGAGCTTCAACATGTAATTTGGAAGCCATCTTAGACTACATCTGCCTAGGGACATGACTGAAACAAAAACACTTGTTTAAGATTTCTCGGTGCTTTCGTAAATATGTAAGCAGTTGATGCACTGGAAAGCAGAGGAAGCACATTTCAGTCACACCTACTGCTCAGTGGAGAATTATTGTGCTAATGGACCTTTCCAGACACAAAGGTGGACGGGGATATTCTGTTAATTGGTTTATGCATGTCAGCCGGGAAACTCAACTGCAGGCTATCAAAGAAGCCTGAAACGGCTTAACCCAAATAAGACCTTTAGAAGACTGCCAACAGTCCACATATTTCTCCTCAGTGTATGAAGCCTGTGTGAGAGGTGTACGTGCAGCTCTCTGACCAGCAGGGCTGCTCTGCTGTCTCCAGATCAACAGTCTGTCACCACCCTGCCAGCTAAAACTAACTTTAAAATGTATGAGATAAAAAAAAAATCTTTGTGGCACATCAGGGAGGACACATTTTAGCTTCTACCGTAAGCCTTCTGTTGCACTCAGGGAAGCGCATGAATTCAAGAAGAGGGCTCGGTTAAGGACAGCAGCTTAACAGAGAGAAATATGGGTGATAATTCTGTTAGGTGAGACATTACTGTTTATAGAGATTAGATAGGCGTCATGTTGGTGCCAGTCTCAAGGAATTGCATGATGGTAACATATTTTACAGTGTTTAAGTGCCAATAAAATGATGAGATGATATTTGCTGAACTGGGAGGACGGTGTGCGGTGCAAACAGAAGCACGCGATTTTGCAATTAAAATGCACCCTGTACGCAGATCACAGTGCATCACCCTAACAGAAAGCATGCTCCTAATTTACCACAGACATAGCGTAAATCTGTGAGCCATCTGCCATGTCCCCCCCCCCCCACACACGCACACCCTGCCTCAGGGGTTTTGTAAAGGGCTTCATCCAAAAGTTCAATCGAATGGCCAAACTCCATGCAAGCTTCTGTGACTCTGAGAGCTTCACAGACTGATCACCATTACTACAGCTGATGAGCTCAACATGCGATGCTTCCTGTTAAATGAGCCTTAGCCCATGGAGGTGAACCAATTGGCAGGAAATGAGTCCAAATTGATTGGGAAACAGATGGAAGTGAAGAAGCCACTGTATGAAGCTCATGAGGCTGTGAAGGAAGGAAAAAGATCAGGGTTGAAGATTAAATGAAAGAGAGAGCAATAGCAGATTGATACAAAAATGCTTAGAAGAGGGCAAAGCCATTTCCACTTTAAAATCAATGAATGGATGTAGTTATCTGAGGAAAAGTACTACTTTTGGCAAGTGCCATTCAGGTCTGTCAGTTATGTAAAAAATCACCCGCTTTGAGTTAAAAACATTGAAAGCAAATTGCAACACTGTCATTTGCTGTGTATGTTCCCAAGTTTCTTCGCTGTCAGAGCCAATTTGAAGAAAAGATTCAAGATTCAGTCAATCTTTGTTTTCAGACAACACTGACGGCAGAACAGCCTTTTTTGACCCCTCAAAAAACGGAGTACTAGACAGCTGCCAAGCTCTTTCAAAAGCACAATCTGTGATCCAAATATAAACACAAGGGTCATAGAGCCACTACAATTATAAAAGGGAACTGCTTTGCATTCTCAAATAGACACATCTTTTCATATATGAGTCTACACGGAAGCTGTTCGTCATCATTCAGACAAATCCTTCAGTTATTTATTTTATGAATTGACTGCAAGCCAGCAGCATTAATGTTAAAAAATGCATGATACAAATAAATTAAACCTCCTTTTACGAGGAAGCAGTCAAAGATACATACAAGAAAACATTGTATTATCTATG